AGGGTTGAACAACTTCTCGGTCAGAGTAATTATCGTTTAGCCAAAGTGATTTAGGCAAGCATTACACTTAAAAATCTCTTAAAGCCATCTATTTTCAAGAGATGTTTAATCAATTTTTTAAGCAATAATAAAGTTGCCCGGAAAAATGTTGGGATTTGTCAAAGGACAAACTTTTACATGTACTTACATTTCGTAAAAACTATTTATATATGACCAAACGCTTGAAAGCTAAAGTTGAATACAGAGAGACATTGAGAGAAGTAAAGAAGCAGATGGAGAGAGAGAGAGAGAGAGAGAGAGAGAGAGTGAGAGAGGGAGAGAGAGGGAGAGAGAGGGAGAGAAAGGGAGAGAGAGAGAGAGCGAGAGAGGGAGAGAGATAATTCAAATAGACTTACCTATGTAGAGTTGGCTACTAATTGACTGAGTAATAATTTTGATTATTCTGCTGTATACATACATATATAGGTATCTCGTTTTTAGCCAGATCTATATCATAATCGAAAGTGAATATAGAAGCTCTCTATTATCCGTGTATATTTTATGGAGCAAAGTTGTTCTTCTACATTATATCTTAATCTAAGCGATAGTTTAGCGAATTAAAATAATAAATTATTAGGGTGTGTTAAAAGCATAGCTCATACATGAAATGCAGTTGCCTAAGATATAGAAAAGCTCTTAAAAAAAGATAAAAATATAAAAAAACATACATTTAAGAAATTTATCGGCATTAGCTAAAATTGTATGCCTTCCTTTCGTTATCTAAGTCCAGTAAAAAATGCATTTGAGTCTGTAAGATCTATTTTACCATTTTTTACAGCTCGGAAATATTTTCATTTCATCGATGAAATTATTACTGAGCTACAAAAATAATTAAATAATAATATACTAAATAATTAAATAAAACTACAATTTCTTTAATACTTTCCACTTTATTATCCACTTTTTTCTATTTATTCCAAATTTCTGCAAGACTTTTGCACCTTGATGTTAAAGAGCAGCTGGCAGTTAGCACAATAAATCGAAAAACAATTTGAGCTTGTAAATGCGTTTACACGAGATACGCATCGCTGCCCAGCCCTAGCTGCGCAGTTTGCGCAATGCATGCGCATATACGTGTGTGTGTGTGTGTGTGTGTGTGTGTGCTGGTTTGTGTGTAATCTTTGTCGCATTGCCGTGAAATGTGCAATAAAGTCGCATGACTTTGGCTTTCGGCTTTAGCGCTGCGTGTCAAAAGTTGGCCGCAGAGCTTAAAAACATCAGACGAAGGCAAACAAAACAAGGGCGAGCTTGCTGCCTGATGGGGTTGATCACGATAATGATAATGCTGCTGCTGCTGCTGCTGTTGATGATGATGATGATGATGATGATGATGATGTTGGTGTTGGTGGTAATGGTGGTCAAGCAAGCAAAGGGCAACAACAATGTAGCGCAATTAAATGTCAAACAGGCGCTTCTGATGGACGCTTAAAATCAGCGCAACTGTCAGCCAGGATCTGCCGGCTACTCTATGGCCATGTCCGAGCCGTCACACATGCAATCACACATACACGTACACACACACACAGACAAGGACACAGACATGCACATGTCACCTGGCGTTTAAAATGTACACCCCATAAACAAAAGTGCAAACAAAGCCATAAACAAGCAGCCGAAGCCCCCGCGCTCAATCCAAGCGCCCATCGTTCTCTAGTCCAGGACAGGCTGATGTTGTTGCCTGTCGTTTGTTAGTTTTGCCTGCCACTGCTGCTGCCATTGCTGCTGCTGCTGCTGCTGCTGTTGCATTGTGGCAGCTAAACATAAAACGCTAACAACAACTGGCAAACAGGCGGGCAACATTCAATGGGGTTGACGCTTCATTCCGGTCGCCGGTCGCCTCAGTTTGTTAGCTTTGCTTTGTGTCGTGGCTTTTATGACGGGGTACGGTGAGCGGCACCGGCTGCCTGTCAGCGTTTTTCTGTGCATTGTTTTTAATACATGTACGTGGCGCATCATTTATTATTTTTGCCACAGCAGCAGCAACAGCAACGGCGGCAGCAGCAGCAGCAGCAGCGCTCATGCTGCGTATACGCAATATGACGCATACGCAGCATCGGCCACAGCATCGAAGTCGGCCATCGCCCATTGGCCCCCGGGTCCATGTCACGCACACATTAGCTAGGTTAGCACGCATCTGGCCACGAACACGTTGCATAAACATTTGGATATGCCAACAACAACGAAGACGCTACCGCTATGGCTATGGCTATGGCTATGGCTATGGCTATGGGCGTGGCACAATCGTGTGTGGCTCGGATTAGGAACTAAATTAAATTTTTACATCAACATTTGCGCTTCATTAGGGGTAAGGGCCGAGGCGCTATAATGCCAAGTGTTGCTTCCATGTTGAGAGGCCACTCGACTGGTCGCCTATGGGACACACACACACAAACACACACACACAGTCACACAGCGAGATAAGCAGGCAGTACAGATAAATGAGTTGAGTGTTATGGTGGGAAATGTCAGACGGGGGGCCAGTAAATTAGCCCAAGCCGAGGTGCTGAGCCAAACCATTCCCATATCATAGTCACAAACATGTTGAGCACACATACATACATATATGTATATACATATGCATACATATATGTGTATATTTATATACATTTTCTCGAAACACAAAATAGTAGGAATAGTTGCAGAACCGAGCCAAACCGAGCAGAGGCATAATTAGATATTCTTAAAGCAGAGCAGTTCGAGCGAACTTCATGTGGAGTATGCTTTGGCGCCAAAGGCAGTTAACACGTTGCATATTTAAAGCGAATAGCTAAGGTGAATTATGTGTATTTAAGCCACGTGTAAATAGTTCATGGACTGTGGCATTATTTTATGGTTTTCGTTTTTAATTTGAAAAGTAGAAAGTTTGCCACCTTGAATTTCAGCTGAAATAATAATTATGTGTGTGGCATGCACTGGCACGAGTCAAAAGTAAAACTATTTTTATGTGCGGTTCTGTTGGACATTAATGACCTACTTTCTGACAGCAATTATGTGCTTTCAAACTTTTTCAAATATACATTTCATATCCAATTACACTACTTAAAACTGATACGCTGAAAAACTAGCTGCACTTTTTCATGGAAATCTGCACGGAAATTTGCATGGAAATCTGAATGTGTGTAATCTGTTGTTAAATGATTTCATGTGGCATCCATGGAAATATTATACATAATGAGATATCTATGTGAGCTGGTGAAAATGAGCTCTTGGTGGAAAAAATTAAGTATACAAATATCGAGCTAACATTTACAAATATATTAAATATATATATCTTATGATCAAACTGAAATAAATATAAAATTTAATAAGCACAATATATGTATAAATTATTTTAATATATTCAAACATTCAGCTAGTTTTTAATGCAATAAAAATCAATATTACTCAAAAACAAATTGATAGTCCGCCTACTCCATATATTGGAAAGTTTATAGCTGGCTCTGTATATAACTCATCTGATTAAGATGAAGCCTCTCGCGTTTATCTCAATTCTCGCTTATTGATTGCCCTCGATTGCGGGCTGTCAAATATTTAATATGCTGCTGGAGTCCAATGGACGAGCGAAACTTTAAGTGAAGCATCAAGTTGGGTAAAAGTGGACAATGGGCCAAGATGAACTTTTGGCTTTTATTGGACATGTACTACCAATAACTGATAGCCACCATTTGCAGCTGCAGCCGTTCAATTTTCGACCAAAAAACACTGCTAAAACTAAGGGGAGAAATGGGAGGAAAGCCATGGCCAGCAGAGAGGGCGCAGCGAAAGGAAAATAAACCGCTGCAACTTTGAAGCAGCGCACAGAGCAACTGCCAGCTGGCACCAACTTATAACTCGGTCTATGTATAGAGGGGCGGGGCAGCTGGCCCAACTGGAGCTGCGCTGTCTGAGCCCTAAGGGCAGCTGCTATATCAAGAAATACACACACACCCACACACACACACAGAGCAAAAGATACAAAACTTGCTAGTGAAAAAAGAAAAGAATTAAGTAAAAATAAAAAGAAGCTGGAAAAAAAGTTTCAGTTACGTGCTGTTGCTTTTAATTGAATTTTTTTCCCAGTGCCTAGACGGACGCTGTTGCTGCTCACTGGTCGCTGTGGTGAACCAATGCTCGGACCAGCACATCCGTATCCGTCTGGCGTTTCCGCCGCGGCTTCAGACACCAACCGTAAGAGAGCAGCAGCAGTAACAGCAGCAGGAGCAGCAGAAGGAGCAACAGTAGCAGCAGCAGGAGCAGCAGGAGGAGCACCTAAAGCATAGACTTGGATTCGTGACCAAGTACTAGCCCTGACTGGAGGCAGTTTTCTTGTTATTTTGAAAGCGCCAAGTCGCAAGTCCTTAAGCGGTTTATATTCGCTTACACTGATTTGCAGCTTGAAAGGTGTCCTGCCCGCCCGACCAGTTCGCAGCTCGTATACCCTGCAGCCATTCAAATGAATGAGCGAAAGTGTGGAAAAGAGATGCCGCTTAAAGACTTAGAGGCAAATATGGCTCGCTGTGATATTTATCGATTAGTCGAGGTATGTATCGCTACCGATAACATGAGCACATGCATGCTCTGCTCAGTTATCGGAGTATTATCGATAGTCGATAGTCGCATGTTTACCTAGTTTATCCATGACAAACATTTCAGTAATTGAATTTGACATGCCGTATAATACTATCGATATTAGCATGGCATACGCCGTTATCGATCAATAGTCTTTGCTTAACTAAAATGAACATTCATGGAAGTTTAATGATTAGAGGCAAGTTTTGGGTCGAGCATACCCGCTGCTCCCGTGCCGCCCTGCATTCCATATCTTTTATTTTGGTCTGCTGCAAGCTTTTAATTAAGAAGTTTCAATTTAATGGCCCACCTGCTCAGCTGCATTGGCCGCTCAGCCGGGGCTATCATAATGATGTTGTTTACTCCCTCACATAGCGGCTCTGGCTGGGTGGAATCAGTTGTATTCGGAAATTCGGCCATGACTTAACCTTCAAAGTTTATTTTTTTTAGTTTATTTTACATATATATCATCAAAATACTGAAGCCTTTGACTATTTGTTAGGAAATGTCTACGAATAGTGTGGGCTCGGTTACCTCGGCAGCCGTGCTGTTGATATCGTTGGTGCTGGTTGGCGACTGCCTTGCCTGTCGACCCGTCTACAGATCTGGTAAGATTCGGAACACAGCCCCCCAGCCCTCAGCCCCCAGCCCCACCCCCTCTCACATCGTGTACGAGCCACTCAATAATGTCGCACTCGCCCTTGTAGATCTGGTATCGTGCACCAGAAGCGGCGGCGTCTGTCGCGAAGTAAGTGCCTGCCCCAAAAATCGGCACGCGGGGGTGAAAACCATTTGCATATTGCGCGGCAAAGTTTGCTGCATGAAGGCAAAATGACGCAAGGGCATCCGGCGAAGGCAACTCAGACGATCTGCATCAGCAAGCACCTTTCGCACAGAAATTGAATATTGTTTTGTAATATCTGATCTATCTAATTATATTGTCTGTACTAGCAAAACTTTGAGCCTGTCTAGAAACTCTCTTGTAAGAGCCCTCATGTCAAATTTGTGCATCTAAATTATATGACACTCGTTAGTCAACAGGCTCATCCGCTCTTGTTTCATTTGCATTTATTTGATTTTCCAGCTACTGACCTCTTACACAAGAATTTTTCGAAATTTCTCGTAATTTTTTGAAAGTTTATTCCAGGATAGAATTTTACACAAAGAAAATATTTCTCCGGCTAATTGGATAATTTTTCAATTTCAAGCACTGTCAACATATTAATCCAACTGCCCTTGCTTTAGTTGTGGATCATATGTTTAGCTTCAACCCATTTCCAGCTGTGCATTTGTGTGCATGGGCGAGCGCGCAGCAACAGCAGCAGCTTTAGATTGTGGGCCAAATGACGTCACGAAAAATCAGGTCAACACCACGCGCAGGCTGAGCGAGCGCAACTAAATTTTTTTTTTTGTATTTCAGCAAAAACGGCGACTCACCGTGCTACACTCACTTGTCTAGAGATATGTGTGTCTGTATGAAACTGAATTACTCTGCTCAAGAAATGTGGAAGGGCGTATTATCTTAGCCTTGCAGATGCAGAGAATCGAGACTCACTCACTATGGCTTAGATGTAAGCAGCATTCCTTGGGACTATAGCCAATCGGAAGAACCTTTTACTTTTATCACTGTCAGCAACTAGAGTTCTTTAAATAAAAATAAATGCCAAAAAATGCTGTGCCTATACAATTATTTACTGAAAGACAGTTGAGAGGAAACGTCTGTTCGAAATATATATAATACAGCAAAGTATACAAGATTCTGAAATAAATAATATATAAATTTAAATGATTATGTAGTAATCTTCTCAACCCTTGAAGAGTATTTTGCAGTCGCATAGGCCCTCTTGTTAATCTTCACACTTTCATTTTTTTTTGGGTCTGAGCGAGACCTTGTACCTAGTCTCACTCTCTCTCGCTCGCTCTCACTTGTCCTAGCTCATGCTCTGCCCACCCCTCTCTCTCCCTCACACACACACACACATACTCACACTCACCTTGTCTTGGGGTCTTGGTCATTAATAGTCCTCTATTTTCTTTTTATTTAATTTTGTTGCTTTATCGCCCGCTGCTTGCAGGCTTCAAATTTTTATGTTTGGCAAGCATTTCTTTCTTTTTGACATTTTTGTTGAATTTTTGCTGTGTTTGGTGAATTACTAGTAAATTTGGCTTCAGAAAAGGAGGGTGGGAGAGAGAGAGAGAGAGAGAGAGGCGGCAGGCTCAAAAGTGAATGACATTTGTTTTTACAAATATTGATTGATTTTTAATGGATTTTCTGTGGACTCTGGACCATAAGGTGACCGTGGGCCGATCCTCTCCCTCTCTCTCTCTCTCCCTCTCTGTTGTCGAGCTGCAGCTGTATTCTTTGCTCGTATTAATTTTATTTACATAGTTAAATGGTTCAATTGTTTGACTGTTGATTTACTGCTGGAATTTCAGACAGCAAAATTAATTGTTTGATTTGTGGGCAGCAACGACTGCATACATATATCTAGGACATACAACTAGGTCAACTGCGTGGGTTTTGCTGCTGATTTACTGATTTTATTTGCACAGTTTATAAATAAAAAGCTGACAGACGTGGCCTGGCAGCTGCCACTCATGCGGAGTTTTCCCAGCGGCTCAATGTTTTTCTTTTCGATTCGCTTTTGATATCTGCTTCCATTGTGTGCTCCGACTGAAGCTCGCCTGCATGCGTTTAGTCAGTCAAACGATTGTTGTGTGTCAATCAAGCAGGTAACTGGCTGCAACTAAGTTGTAAGACTTCTGCCATGTCGCACAACAAAACAATAACAATGGACATGATGTACACACCACACACATCCACACAAACACACACGCACACACACACAGAGAGACTCACATACATGCGTACATTTGGAAACTATTCACCACGCTGCTGCTCTTTGATAACGGCAACTCTTTGGCTCTCTTATGGCATTCGGCTCAGCTGGGCAGCCGTGCCACAAGACTCTCACGCATTCCAAAGACCATGGCAACAGTCACGGCAACAGTCAGCTTTCATCTTTTTTCGTTTCGTTTCTTTTTTTTTTTTTTTTAGCACACGCGCCTGACTTGCTGCCAGGGCTGGCAGGCTGCTGCTAGGCTAGCACCCCTCAGCTGGTCGGCTGTCGCCTGTCGACTGTCAAATCAATTTGTCAGAAATCAGTGACAGCTGCTTACAGCCAAAACACACAAACATGGCCCAGGCCACAGAGCCACAGAGCCAGGCCTTTCCCCGATGAGTTGTCATGGCAAAAATATATAAATATATACAAAGAGCAACAACAGCAACAACAATAGCAACGCCAAAAAATGTTGCAAAAAAAAAAAAAAAATAATAATAATAAAAAAAGAAAAGGAGCTGGCCTGGTGTGTAAATTATAGCGCATATTTGCCCAATTTCTTTTTCTGTTTTCTCAAATTGCTTTGCAGATTGCCGACATTTGAAAATTGTCTACGGCATATCAAGCACTTTCGACATTTACAACTCATTTTTGTGAAATCTCTACTCTGCTCTTCTCTTTTATTTTTCAAGTTCGAAGCTGACAGCCAAGCGTCTTTTGTTTGCATGCCACACACACACACACACACACATACACCCATACACACACACGCTTACGTTTATATATATACACATGCTGCTCTGTGCGCTACCAGGCGTATACGCAATTTCCTAGACAATAGCCGCCCAAGAAGAAACCCCAAAATGAAAAAAAAAAGGAAAGAGGCGAATAAAATAGAATAGGAAAAGGTCTTTGACTGAGCGTTGCTGATGCCCTAGTCGTAGGCGCAACATGCTATTTTTGTCAATCCGTTGGGCATCTATAGGGTTAATTATAAACACAATGGAAACCGGATCTGTTGTGTTTATATTTGAACATTATGGCTGTGGGGCAGGCCGGTCATTTTTATTATTCCTCTATAAGCATAAGGCTACAAGGGAACGAATAAAAACAAAAACACTTTAGGCATTGATATAATCATACTATTTGATTGCTTTAGAGTTGCTAAATAAATATTATTTCATACATGTTCACAATCATGGAAGACAAATTAGAAAAGCAAATCGGATATTCTCTTAGCCGTGGTAAAATTATAAAAATTTGAAATATTTATTTTAATATTTTTACATTATATTATTACTTAATGAAAGTCTCAAATGGTTTAGATAAAAATTAAAGTAATATCAGTAGAATTTTGCCAAACATAATTGAGTTACAAGCAACAAAATAAATAAATAAATAAAATTAAAAAAAAAAGAAAACAAATT